TCACTCATAAAAAAACCCTTTTTAAACATCCAGCTCCCCAAGAATGGACCAATCTCTCTCTGAGGAAGGCAGAAGATAGGCCGGTTTTTAATTTTAAAGAATGCATAAATAAAATTATTCCTTCAGTTCTGGCCACACTCCGAGATGGAAGAACTTGAATCCATAATTAAAAGCCGACAGTCTCAGCAGGGCTCTCTGTGTGTGCTTGAACATTTGAAAATCGGCACAAGATCACAGAACCCTCATTTCTCCACTGTAGTTCCTTTCCATCCTACCTCAGACTTTTAAAAACACGCTTAAGGTCTTTGGCATGTCCCAGCAGAGGCAGTGCCAGACACAGAGGTGTTAACTTTCCTCCAATATTTTCTTAACATAGCAGGCAACCACAGCAGAGTTATCCTTTGTTCAGCTCCTGTTTCCCTGCACAGTGTGCCATGATTTCACTGGCCCGTACAAACTGACAGCCCAGCATTGATTATTTATTGATTGCTTCTATGCAGATATAGGTGGGATGAAGGACCAGGCTTTTGAAGAGAAAGCTGCTGTGGGTGCAGCCACCATGAATCAGACATTAAATAGCATTTCCACAGCAGTGGGTGGCACACGAAATCTGGAATGGTGGATGATAGAAGCATGGGAGCCATTTGCTACATGGGCAACGCCATTTTGATTTTAATCTACACCTTCAAAGCCAAGGCTCAGGATCCACCTCTCCATGCACAGTCTAATTGTTTAACTCCAGAATTAAGGGCAAAATTTAGCAAACAGAATGCTCGTTATATTCTTCAGGTAGGGAGCATGAGGCAAGAATTCTGTTCTCCCCGAGGAACATTCGAACTGGGAATTTTCCTCCAGCACAGGCTGTGTTTTGTTCCATATAAAACACTGGCGCAACATGGAAGCAAAGCAGTTCTCCCCGACCCCAGGCCGAAGCAGAGCTGTGGATTTGTGCCCTCTGGACTCCAGCCATCCCCAGGGTCGGAGCCCTGAGCTCGCAGCGGGATTTCCGAGGGGAAGGGGCAGCACTTGCCTGGCGAGTGCCGGGATGTGCCCGTGCTGGGCTCCTTGCTCCACGCAGCTGCTTGGTTCCCCATGGCCAGGGCCTCAGGCACCGACTTCCTCTCTAACAGCCCGAGGAGCAAAGGAAAACAGAGAAGAAACGACAGAAAACACAGGGAAAAAATAAATGGAGAAAGAGCAGGGGAAGGCTCAAAGGAAGGGAAGGAGGAAGGCGACAGTGAACCCCAGCACATGGAATAGCTGTTGATTTCCCAGAAAAATTAGAGTTTACACTTTGGGGTCTTCTCATGGCACAACAAGGCAGAGTTGAGATTTTTTTTCAGCTCTTTGGATACCTAGGAAGCAGTGCTTTGAATTTAAAGGGCACAAAACTACCACTACCATCAAACAGCAGAAATTCCCTTGAGGTCGGCCATGATTTTTATTGGTTCCTAATTACAGAAAACGAGTAAACAAATAAACAAAATAAAACGAAGGGGGGAAAAAAAACCCAAACAAAAAGCAGCCCAAGCGGTACAATGATGACACAAAGCTGTGATACAAATCCTTTGGGGCAGTTCACCGTTTGCACGGTCGGGTTAAAGCCTCGGCAACGATGCGGCTCCAAAGAACCCTCTCCCTGCCCACTTCCAGCTGGCTCCCTCGCACACAGAATCTGCTGTGTGCTGCTTTTCCAGCTCTAGACCATCTGTATCTGCTGTAATCCTTGCCTCTGCCCTTTATCCATTCAGCAAACAACAGGCATTTTGTGCCATCTAACAAAGACTTCTTCAAATCGCTCCGTCGCGAATGCCTGACAATAGGAATCGTTCTCCCGACCCGTGTTAGCAGCAGCAGCCCCTTTCCGAGGGCACGGGATGAAAGGGATTTTAACGCGTTTTACCTGGAATGAATTGCATCAAAGAGCAGAGGAAATGCAGCAGGTGAGCGAGCAGAAGGCTGGTGGCGGACAGAAGGATTTTGGCGAACATGTTCCGGCGGGCAGAAAGCATCGGCTGGGAGCGAGCGGGCGGAGGTAGCGGTGCCAGGGCAGCGAGCAGGGAGGCAGCGATGGACGGGAGAGGTGAGCGCTGCCTCTCATCATCCTT